ACCATCCACCTTACTCACCAGATCTAGCCCCAAGCGACTTCTTTTTGTTCCCTCATCTAAAAATTGCGCTCGGAGGACAGAGATTTTCGTCAAATGAAGAGGCAATCACCTTCGTGAACAATTATTTTGCAGAGAAAAACGCCGAGTACTATTTCGACGGGTTACAGAGATGGGAGCATCGCTGGGAGAAGTGTGTAGATTTACAAGGAGACTATGTTGAAAAATAAAAAACAATTTTCAGAAAAAATGACTTGTATCTTTGTTAGGTCGGAAACTTTTCAGACCACCCTCGTATGTGGATTAGACGTATTTTTATATTTTACTAGTATTTTTTTTTTCAATATGCGGAGAAAAAGATTTTTTTGTTATCAAAGATCACGATGCAATGTAGGATCAGAAGGAATTTTCAACTTCAACTTCAATATTTGGCTCCAGGTCTCTCTAAAGGCCAAATCACACTAGCGATTGGCGATAGATGATTGACTATTGAAGATTGGAACTTGACCAATTGGAACAAAGCAAGCCAAGGTTGAAGCTTGTTGATTCGTTAAAATCTAATCTTTAACTGTCAATCGTCAATCGCCAGTGTGATTTGGCCTTTAAGAGTTATGCCCCCACGCCATTATTCCGATTTATGATATATTTCGAGAGTAAAGTCTTGGAAGATTCCAAGGCACGTTCCAAAAAATCACAAGGTCCGAACTTGTTCGAGCACGTCTTGTCGTGAAATATCTTGTCGATATTTTGAAAACATAAGAGAGAATCGATTCTTTAACAAGAAAAGAATCGATTATCGACTCATTGAGAATCGATTATCGTTCCTCATTCATTTAAAGTCTGTTCTTTTTAGAGTCTGTTTTCTATTGCTAAGTGTACACTTTCGGAACTTAAAAAGAGATAGATATACAGATGAGAGTTGGTGGAAGAAAGACAAGAGAGAACTAGTGCAGCTAGTTCTGCAATAGAAAATAGACCCTTAGCTGAACTGTCTGAACTGGTGCACATTGATGTAGTAAGTTAGAGCGAAACAAATATATACTTATCTCATTCTAACCTACGCACCAGTCAGCAGCGCGCTACAAAACCAATGAGCGAATGATGGCGTTGGACGATGAAACATAACCTATCACTGTGACCCGAACAAGCGTGTCAGCAAAGTTTCATTCGCGTTGCATCGATTTTTCCACGTGAAGGACGCAACAAAATCGCGAGTTGCGTTGAGCAAATCGATCGACTGGCATGTCAGGTTGGATCAACGGCGCAATACGATCTGGCCCGTGCGCGATGAACGCCTAATTACAGCATACATCGGCTTACGCGTACATTGCGCATCCGTCACGAAGAATGGCCTCCCCGAAGCGCGGAGAGCAATGAACCAGTTATTATGTTGCCATCGACCGGTTACTTCAAGACGATAAATTGCCCGTTTTATGACAGCGGATCGTGCGATCGTCCCTATTGTCATTTCAAGCACGCTAGACGAGGTAAGAACTTATAAACAAGCCGAAACAGGTCCTTGCATCTTTTCTGATCCTTCTTTTGTATCGCACGCGGACCCTGTCTACGTAATTCATCTACGTCGTCAAGCAAGAAACTTTAATAATCTTTTGACTCGAATGATTGTGAGGAGAATTCTTGAACATGTATCATATGCTGAACATTTGAGTATTACTCGCTTTTCTCTCTCTCTTTCTCTTTCTCATGCCGCCGAATTGCGTGCAAGAAACACCGAGTGTTTGAAAACGAACGATTCCTTTGTTTGTGATGTGTCAAAAATGAGGAATAATGGGGAATTAATAATGTGTTATCATGTGATAGAACAATCACACACACAAAACAGTTTGTGTTTCTACACCATTATATAAAATTAAATGTTTTTAATATTTCACATCTTTTTGATCTTTAATTACTGTTAATCTGATTCTTTAATTCTGAGTTTCATATATTTAAGGTGAGAGTTAAATTTAATTATGAGATACTGATCTCTGGCATCTATACACGTTTTACAAAGGTATAGAATAATATGTTGAACTTGTGTGAGAAATTATTACTTTAAAAATACATTCATAATATATAAATAAGTATATATAAATATATTTATGCATATTTGTATGAATAAATCACTCTTTTGCTTGATGTATTGACAGAGATATATTAAAAGATTAGCAAACATATCTAAATAAGAAGAATCCTAAAATGTTTTTGTTTAAGTTGTGTTAATAAAGATATAGAATACATATAGAATATGTTGAGTCTGTGTGAGAAATTACTGCTTAAAAAATAGATATATATATATATATATATATATATATATATATATCGATAAATCACTAACTTATAGGACAATGATCAACTATATTTGAATGAAAATCAATTGCGTATTTTATACAGAAGATGGAGGAAGCTCAACAGGAGTGGCTGAAGTGGTGGAGGCCCAGACAACAGGCCAAACGCAGGAGAACAAAGCCACCGCTGTGGTGGCATCAAATTCCGACATGTTGCAACACCTAGTGACAGAAGCTGTGAAGAAGGTGCTCGCGGACAAGGAGGTCACAGTCGTGGAGAAGTTTCCTGAGAATATCGTCTCTCAAGTGGTCGAGGAGCTTAAGCCGACTTTGGCCTCCAGCTCGACTGCCTCTATACGCAATATTACGCCAAATATAATAGGGAAGCACATTACAATTCCCACGCCTATCACAAAGCCAGTAACATGCGTCTACAATCCTACGCCAATAGCAGAACTAAAAAAACGGCATATACCTGTGATCTCATACATGCCGACCAGGGAGAGTAGAGTGGCTGTGAAACGTAAGTGCTCTCCTGAGAGGGTTAAACCGTGGTTGAGTGTAATTCAGGAGTCCAGTACTTCTCAACAGTCGGAGATTACGTATAAACCCACTGCTATAGTCAACACGACTGATCAGGATGCCGTGCCAGATTACGTGCCCACTTTCAAGTCGGACTCGTCTACGTCGAATTCATACGATGACGGTAACTCGAACGATTATCAGTCGAAATTTAAAGAAGCGTATTACCCAAGATCCAAGAAGAGGAGGGAGGAATATGTTCCCAAGATGGTTAAAACACCGTTGAAAACAGCTCAACAACTGGACGATGTTACCATGGATCAATTCGAGTCGGAATTTGATATGATCGACGAGATCTTTACTTCCAGTCACATCGTATCTAATACATCGGGACAGGCCAAGGTGTTGTCCAGTGAAGACTCGCAAGATTACTCTTTGGATATTGAACCTAAATTCTCGGATGATGAACTGGTTGAAGACATACCCAAAGACAAAGATGATGCAAGCGTCAAGAAGGCTGAACAAGCTGCGGATGTGAGCGAGAAAGAGAAGAAGAATTTGCAACATGCAAAGATTGATGAGCAAATAAGCAATAAAGATAATAAGATACACAACAATCATTACGATGCTAAAACGGGTGATACAAAAAGTAGCGATAAATCTAAGCAATATAAGGAAAATGATGCTAAATCGTCGGATAAAAGGAAAGAAGGTATTAAAGAGGACGCCGATAAAGAGAAAGAAATACACAAGAGTCATAGTAAAAGTAAGAAAAAAGATAGAAGAGAACATCACAGTTCTGAAGGAAGAGACAGAGACAAATCTGGGAATAAATCGGATTCTAGAAGCGGGCATCGTTCCTTCTCCAGTAAAGACAATGATAAAAGGAGAAGCAGCCGTGACAGTAAGGAATCTTCACATAAAGATAAAGAACACTCGCGACGGGATAAACGGAGTGGTTCTCCGAAGAAAGATCGAGGTGACCACCATAAGTCTAGCCGGCACGACAAACATAGATCCAAAACGAGCTCGTCTAGTTCCAAGTCGAGCAAACACACGTCGAGCAAAAGTGATAAGAAACATCGTTCAGACTCGAGTCGAAGACCTAGCACTTCCAGGAAATCTAGCGAACACAAAGAGAGTAATAGCGAGAGAAACTCATCTGATGGTTCTGATGATAGCCCTTTGAACAATATTCATCCTTTCGCAGACGACGACATTCTAGAAATATCAGATTCTGATCATGATGTGCAGGAAGAATGCTTAAAAATTTTTCAGGTAAGTAATTATATATCTGCATCAATGTACATAAACGTTATAAAAAATGCGTATTTAATCAATTGCTCATACTTTTTTTTTTATTACCGTTTGTAATATCTATAATGTTCACACTCTCATTAAAATATGTCAATTGAAAATATTAAACTTTTTTCTGTCTTGTCTGGTAAAAAGAATTTTCTATTAATAAAATTATTTCGAATATATTTAAGTCTATAGCATACTGTAGAATCTCATTTTGTATTTATTCACTTTTTAGGAATATCAAGTCTCTGATCATCCAAAAGTAGTATCAGTCAAAGAATCGTCGAAACGTGAACCTGATAATGTGGAGGAAGTTGGTAGGAAGAGAGTCGCGCATCCCTCGGCGACCACGAGCATCACCAAACACGTAGGTCCTAGTCAACCACCGAAGAAATTAATAACTCCGCAGCAGAAAATGTATGAACGATGGCGTCTAATGAGAGAAGCAGTGGTCGAGAAGGCCGCGGAAAGGGCGGCAGCTGATACAAAGACTCAAGTTACATCTACATTAGCGCTTCAACTCTCCAGTAAAATACGCAAAGAGCACACCGAGTCAACCTCGTCGATAAGCAACAATTACTCTCAGCTAAATGGAAATGGTAAGTTAATAGTTCGTTGTTTGCGCATTCCTTGCGCGAGCACTTTATATGAGATACGACCGCATCTTACGAGATGTGTACGGAAATTGAATCAGTTAATATCAATTTTTTGTCTTTTATTAATCTGCCTTTTATTAATTAATATTACATTGTACGTGCAGGTCGCGTTAGAATCGCTCATGTTCCATACGCGCAGTCTCTTGCGATGGAAAAGAAGAAAGTTACAATGATATCGACAAAAAGCAAAGAAACGGACAGTAAAACAACGGCACAAACCACAAAGGGTGGTGTACGCGTCGCTCACGTTCCACAATCGGTAAGACCAGATTACGAAGCTATGGAAGTTTATTAATTATTCTGCTGCAATATGTCACGAGTTTTGTCCACATTGAGTCACGATGTGTGATAAGATATAACACGAAACATGTTAATTTCGTACACATAGGACACGATAATATGCGTTATACGCGACAAAAAGCAAAGTCGTGGTAGCTAATTGTTTTTCATTATATATTGTTTATTTCCGGAAAAAAAAATAGGAAGTTGATTGACCACCTCACGTTGTCCCTCGGCGTCCTGTTGCCAAGTCATAACGTCTTACAATTTTGCAGATACCTCAATTAATACGGCCAGAACCACTGCAAGTCGCCACTCAGAAATTTCCTTTGAATGTTCGTCAGTATTATATTAATACTATGCACGATATATGCGTGCAGATTTATACGAAGAGTGACGACGCAGCCGAACGTGCTGTAAAAGAAGAATTTGCGTGTCACGAGAGGTGTAAGGCTCTCCCGGTATATAAAAATGCGTGTACATTAGCAATTCATAGATTGAGAAAAGAGGTCGACCAGAGTAGATCGGGCGAGAAGTTTACTGGATCAAGTTGCGGCGTGGTATCTCACGAAGCTATGCTTGCCGGCAAGTCGAAAGGTTCCTGGAGCGTAGTTAAGACCAAAAGAAGTGTTGTAGATTATAAAGGATCTGCACTGTACAATATGCTCAAGAAGTGGATCATAACAGAGGATCAACTTAGAGAAAACGGTTTTCCACGCAGTCATCCGGATGGTCCAAAGGTAAACAAATATTTTAAGTTGCAAATCCAAATAAGATAATACCGATATATCATCGACATTATCATAAATTGCTGAGAATTAAAACGGAAATGTTTAAAAAGTAAAATGATAAACGGCAAGATAAAAAGTAATAAAAAAAAAAATAATTAAAATGTAGAAATGTCGGCAGGGAGACAATATTAAATCGTTTACAGATGAAATGATAAATAATAGGATAAATTAGAATGCGAGATGTGCAAAAGATAATGCATGAATAGTTTATTATAATAATAACATTAATTAATAGTTGGTAAATTAATGCAATTTCATAATTTTAAAGAAAATAAATATTTTATTGGCGATGCAAATTATCACTTTTTACATGCAATTTTATGTTTAGTTTTATTATGGTTGTTAGTAACGATCATTTTCCTCGATCAAACGACGATTTTTTAACGAGAGTATGCTTTACACATTGCAGGGACGAGCGAAAGTGTACGTAATAAATTCACGAAACCAAAATATTTTGTCAAAAGTGCCTAACGAAAGAATATGTAGCCGCTGTGGTCAAGCGTACATGGTAGATAGACATGGCCTCGCTTTGCAGCAACAAAACTGTATATATCACTGGGGAAGAAAGTTTACAATCAGAGGCGAGGGCAAGTATAGTTGTTGCCAGCAATACGGATCCGCCTCTGGTTGTTGTGACGCGAAGACGCACGTGTGGGACTATACGGACTATGAGAATCTTCGCGGTTACATTAAAACTTTACCGAAAGGTGAGATATTTTATGCTATATCACGTGCTCCGGATGTATTATTATCTATTTTTCATTGACCAATTAATTGTTTACGTTACACGAAGATATTGCTGTGGAGGAACAAGGCGTTTACGCGCTCGATTGTGAAATGTGCTACACTACGTGTGGTTTAGAATTAACCAGAGTGACAGTTATTAACGACGATTGCAACGTCATATATGAAACTTTGGTGAAACCGCAGAATCCAATAATCGATTATAACACGAGGTGAGGCTATAACAAAATTTAAAGTTAACCAGATTAGACGATATCGAGAATTTTAAAACGTAAATCGATAAAGTATCGGTTTATATGATGAGTAATTATCTCAAATGTCAAAATAGGTTCTCAGGAATTACAGAAGAAGACATGAAGGACGTGACGACGACTCTTTTAGACGTACAGGCTACACTTCTCACAATGTTCTCTGACAAAACAATTTTAGTGGGTCATAGCCTTGAAAGCGATTTTAAAGCTCTAAGATTACTTCATGATACCGTCGTGGACACCAGTGTTATGTTCCCGCATAAAAATGGATACCCGCAAAAACGAGCGTTGAAAAATCTTTGTTCCGAGTATCTCAGAAAGCTCATACAAAATGATGGTAAGTTTGATTCTTGACACCAAAAGTGACGGGGAGAGAATCATTAAACGAACAGAATAATGTGTTTTACATAATGATTTGTTTTTTTTTTTCTTTTAGTCGGTGGCCACGACAGTAAAGAGGATGCTGTCGCTTGTATGGAATTAATTTTGTGGAAAGTGAAGGAAGAAGCAAAATTGCAGTAAAAAGAACTGTATTCATAGATTTGGAGAACGCAAAAACAATATCATTGCGTTTGCTGTACATCAATACAATCTAACTCTTTTGTAATGTGCGCTGGATGGTACATACTTTACTGCCGTATGTATTATATCTTATGTATAAATATGTAATATATACACACTCACACACTACGTCTGCTTGAGACCTCTTTTCAGGCAAAATTCGGGATTGTGTAGCTGATAAGATTCATACCCACGACATGAACTCTTGACATTTATTAAAATACAAGTAGAGCGTCATTTGCTAGTGGAGAATCGACGTGAGATTTCGCCGATTTCGATATGTAGCAATGGGCTCGTTAAATTATTCTCGAATATATGGCCGAAATCTCGAATTATTTCGTAAATCATTCGAAATCACAAATTCTTGAGGGTCTTGAAAAGATCAGCTATAAAACTATTGTTCACATGACTATTAGCCACATTATTGTCACAGTGGTGTTAATTTAATTGTGTACATATATGTACATATACATAAGTCTACTATTAAAATTTACTAGACCTCTGTTATCGATACATAAGCATTCAAGAATTTTCAGTTTAGAATAACATTTTCGATTAAATTGCTTGAAGGATGTAAATGTGAATGCCCAGTACTATCGATATGCGCATCACGATATTTCGATTCATATTTTTGTACTTCGTTATTATTACTTATTTATACTTTAGAGCATTAAAGAAATGAAACACGTTACACCTGTTTATTTATTGACCTAATCTTATTATATATAGATTTCAAGAGATAGTCTATAATAAATCAACAATAATTATTAATACTATTTCTTACGTTGTTTTTAAACAAATTCAATATTCATTTTTTTATGACGCAATTGATTTTTTGTCCGTTATTTTCGTTTTTTAATGATAACAAAGTTATTCCGTTAAGATTTAAAACTTTTATTTTGATTCTATTTTGATAGCGATCAAACTTCTCTGCATCTGTTAACTTTAGGGCCCTCACACATAAAATGACATAACTGTATGTGCATAACATAAGATTGTATGGACCAATGAGCATCGAATATTTAACCGTCATATTGACGCTTGATGCTCAATACTCGATGCTCATTGGTCTATACAGTTTTATGTTATGCACATGCAGTTATGTCATTTCATGTGTGAGGGCCTTTAAGTGGGAAGCACATACTCTTCATAAAAGTATAATGCATAAGAAAATTGACCAATCAGAGTCCTTCATCTTCATCGTGGCAATAAAAATGAGGACTCTGATTGGTTCATTTCCTTATGCGTGTGTATTATCTTAGAGCATATATATATGAAGAGGGAATGCTGGCACGAAAGTATATTGGCTCCTGCACACAGAACGCGATAATGCTTGCCGCGCAGCGGAAATTCGCGCGACAGCCAATCAATATGCTGCTTTCCGTAATAACCTTCTAGCTCTTAAGGAGAAATAACATATTGGCCGGTATTCATACTCGAGTCTTATTTTTAAGACTGGCTTAAGTTCATCTTCAGATACTCCGTAACCAATGAAATAATCCGTTCATTATCTAAAGATAAACTTAAGACGGTTTTAAATATTAGATCTGACTATAAATACCGGCTATTGATTGGCTGTCGCATGGACTTCCGCCGCGTGGCAAGCATTCCGCGTCCTGTGTGCAGGAGCCATATCCCTTTGACTATACAGAGTGTATATAATTGACTATACAAGGTGTATACTTATACTTTAAGTCAAATTGAACAAAAAAGTCCTCTTCCATTTTCCAAATAATCACATAGATTTTTAAATATTAATTAAAAAAGATTATTGAACGATTTTGTGTGATAATGCACTCATCTTCTTTAATTAATAATTAAAAATCTATGTGATTATTTGCAAAATGGTAGAGGACTTTTTTGTTCAATTTGACCTAAAGTATAAGTACACGACGGCAGTCATCGCTATTATAACTCATTTACCATATCCTGCATGATCATTCACAAATTTTCTACAATTAATATCTCGATAATTATTACGAATATTGCAAAACGGTATAGGACTTTTATGTTCACCTCAATTTGTTCTACGTCCCCACAAAATGCCCAGAGGAGAATGTGAGACACCCTGTATGTACCATGGACTGCTAGCCGCTATCTTAGTCTGCAGCGCCGCCAGGACTAAACAACGGCTATTACGTAAACTATCACATACTTGTGATTTCTATTTTACCATGTGAAAGATATTTTGTGTGTGTCCGTGATCATAAATTGCAGTTATCATTAAAATATATGAAAAATTATTATGATATTTCTTTAATCGTCAAAAACAGACTTTATCATTTTTTCTTCAAATAAATTATTACATTAAAAAACAGTTATACAACTTTGCTATAATATAAAAATCAACAATTTTCAAAGTAACAAGAAAAAAAATCTGATTTGTAAGGAAAATATAAAAACACAAAATAAGATATTTATGTAATTTGATACCAAATTTGTATTTATTATATTACATAAGAATATATAATATTTATATAATATATTATATAATAAGAGATA